GTATACTTTAAAAAATGAGGTAGTTGGACCAACTCCAAATTGATATAACATCTTGTTTTAGTTGAACTAAATCACAACTCAATTTTCTTGACCATATCTTATAAACTTTGCATTTATTAGGACCTAATTCATAATTTTAAATGTCATAGCAATATAGGTACTATGATTTTTTTAATATTTGACAATATCTTTAATTCTTTATACAATTGTGAGGAATTCAAATTTATTGAAAGTCTTTAAATTTTGATTTTGAAATGATGTTTTCTTCTAAACTAACTTTTTAACCATTCAATCAATCAATTATGTTAAATTTTGAAATAGTTGGAGTATGCTATATGAATCATCTGATAATTAATTATTTATATTTATTTTCAATCTAGTTGAGATTGTTGATGCATAAATTTTCAAACTATTCATACCGTTCTTTTTAAATCCATTTTTTTCAATATTACATACAAAATCGACTCCTAACAATACGAGGTGTAACGTTCACTATGGTGTTATGACAATAAGTAGTTTTAACTTTAATTAGTCAAGTGACTTATCCCAATATAGGGTGTGTTATAAAGAAAAATAAAATAATTTAAAATGATTTTTTTTTTAATGAAAACAAAAAAAAAGAAAAGTAATTTTCATAAATTGATAAAACAAACACTTCAAGTTCATTATCTCTTCTCCGTCCATTCAATCGTTATTCATTGGTCATTCCACCTCTGAATTCCCACTTTGATCGCCCAATTCCACCTTCGTAGTGTTTTGATATTATATGCTAATATTATCTGAATAATTATTTTATTTACTAATCAAATATTAAAAAGTAAGTAAAAATTTATTTATTATTAATAATACTATTATTATATATTTTTAAAGAATATATTTTTTAGAAAAATATTTTCCAGCCTACCAAGTACACCCCTAGCCTCTACTTATATTACTTGCACACCTTTTGATAGATGCAATCATGCAATCAACCTTTATCTTATCTTTAACTACTCCCTCCGTCCCATTTTATGTGATGTACTTTGATTTGGCACAAACTTTAAGAAAAATGGAAAGACTTTTAAAACTTGTGGTCCAAAATGAATGATAGAAATTTGTGTGGTTGTAAATCATTTCATTAAGGGTAAAAAAGACATTTTATAGGCAAATTGTTACTTAAAATAGAAATGTGTCATTCTTTTTGGGACTGACTAAAAAGGAAAGTGAGTCATATAAATTGGGACAGAGGGAGTACTTTTTATTATAGTAACTGTTTATTTCATACATATAATCACTTTATATCTCCAACACTCATTTTGTGGTTGGTATTATCTTTGTCACCCTACCACGACTCTTGATAAAATAGGAAATATAAATATGATAAAATGAATAAAAGAATGGACAATCAAATTTAATACTGATTGAGTGATCAATGAAATACGTTTAATATCATAAGATTTTAAATTCATTAAATTTTAACGTAATGTCCTCTTATTTATGTTACTTTTGAGAATAAAGATATTTAATACACATTACTGATAGAAAATAATATATATCTTATAAATTAATTGAGACACACGCAAACTGCACAAAAATAAGTACTCCCTCCGTTTCAAAAAGATCGGTCTGGTTTGACATGACACGAAGTTTAAGAAATTAAAGAAGACTTTTAAATCTTGTGGTCATAAATTAAAGTTATGTCAAATATACAAAATTGCCCTTAATCTTGTGGTCTTAAACATGCCACGTGGAAAGCAAAAAATAAAATGTTACCAAAAAAGGAAAGAGGTCATTTTTTTGAAACTGACTAAAAAGGAAAGGAGGTCATTCTTTGTGAAACGGAGGGAGTAATAAACTTTGGGTGGTCATTACCTTGTGGCTGAACTTTTTATTGCCCCCACCAAAAATCTCAATCAAATAGATTTGACCCCACCCACCCCCCACCTGCAAATGGGCTATTGGTGACCTAAATTTCCACCAATGAGAAAAAACTATTACTAGCCACACATTTATTAGTTATTACAATTCTTTTTCACATTTTGCAATTTGCAAATTGACCAACTATTTGTCCACCCATCACCCACCCCACTAGATAGAACCAATCATTAACATGTTGTACTTTCAATCACATTGTTTAATTTCATTTTAGAAAAAATATATATTCATAATACATAAACAAGAGTAATAAGTTATAAATATTTCAGTTTTAAGAATGTATATTTAGATATTTCCAAATGGTACGTACATAATAATCATTCAAATATATTATAAAATGACAGATAACATATATTATGAAATGATATATAATAACCAACCAAATACATAATCGTGAAGTGATATGTGATAAGCATTCAAATGTATACTATGAAATGATATATAACGATTATTCAGATACATTATGAAACATTAAGTAACAATTCTTTAAACAACATGAATTAAGAAAATAATTGATACCTTCAAGAGTTGAACATTACATGGTAATTATATCCAAGGGTTTTGCACAATTATTGCAACAACATTGAATGTACTACAAAGTGAGATCTTGATAAAAACAAATACTTTTATATGTAATAATTGTAATCGTGTCATTATCTTTTTTTCTTTCTTTTTATTTTATTGTTTGTTTATTATCTAATCTTACCTTTTTTATGATAATTTTACCCTATATCTTTAATTTTTTTATTATTGAAATGTGATGTTATGTAATAATGAAAAATGATATAGTAATATAATATAATTTAATACGATATATTATAAAATTATAGGTAATAACTATCCAATTATATTATGAATCGATACATAACAACCATTTAAATATATATATATTATAAAGTGGTATAAAACAATACATGACAACCATTCAAATATATTATAAAATGATACGTAATAACTATTCAAATACATTATGAAACGGAACATGATATCCATCCGAATATATATTATGATAAAGGGTATATAACAACCATTTAAATGCATCATGAAATGATACGTAACTATCATCCAAACGAGAAGAATTAAGAAAAATAATAATCATACTTCCAAAAGCTAAACGCCACATGATAATTATGTCCAAGAATTTTGCACAATTATTAAGATGACAATATATTCAATATAATCTTACAAAATGAGATTTTGATTGGACAAATTTTGATCTTACTTCAAAGCTAAAGAAACTATTTTCGATAGATTTTAAAAATTAAGAAATATTTTACACAATTATTATAACAAACAACATAATGCACTTAATGTAATTGCACAAAATAAAATGTTGCTAAAAGAGATTTTAGTCCTTATTTAAAAGTCGAAATTAAAGATACTGTTTCCGATATATTCTCGTAATATCATTTTTGAACAATTTTTGAACTTTATATAAAGGGGGTTTTTACAACCTTTTAAAGGTGTAGAACATGATAGAAGCAACCGACATACCAACGTGGACAGAACAACTCGCCGCATCACTTAAAAGTTATTTTTATTTGTTTTAATTTACGTGATACTTTTTGTATTATGAGATTTAAATAAATTCATTATTGATTGCAAATATTTAAATATTTTTAAAATATTTTAAATTGATAATTATTACGAGTTATATTACTTTTTATATAATTTTTTAATATATTAATTTCATTTAAAAAAATTAAAGATTTTAAGTCCAAATATATAGTCAAATTTAAATTGTTAGACTCACAGGAGTAATAAATATCACATAAATTGAGACACGTAGTATTAATCAGATAACAAC